TAGTCCCAATGTTGCTCCTTTAGAGAACAGCTACGCTCAGATCAGCCCCGATCAAAGTGCCATTTCTGTGCCGTCTCTACAGAACATGGAGACCAGCCCAATGATGGATGTTCCCTCAGTTTCTGATCATTCGCAGCAAGTTGTGGATAGTGGGTTCAGTGATTTAGGAAGTATTGAGAGCACAACAGAAAACTATGAAAACCCAAGCAGTTACGATTCTACAATGRGTAGTAGTATCTGTGGAAATAACTCCTCTCAGAACAGTTGCTCGTACAGTAGCCTTACATCTAGTAACCTAACACAGAGTAGCTGTGCAGTGACTCAGCAGATGTCTAACATTAATGGTAGCTGCAGTATGATGCAACAAGCAAACATCAATTCTCCTCCCACTTGTAATGTAAAATCTCCCCAAGGTTGTGTTGTGGAAAGGCCTCCAAGCAGCAACCAGCAGTTATCCCAGTGCAGCATGGCTGCTAATTTTACACCACCTATGCAGTTGACTGAAATCCCTGAGACTAGCAATGCCAACATTGGATTATATGAAAGAATGGGGCAGAGTGAATTTGGAGCAGGGCATTACTCACAGCCATCTGCCACCTTCAGCCTTGCCAAACTGCAACAGTTAACTAATACGCTTATGGATCATTCTTTGCCTTACAGCCATTCAGCTGCTGTAACTTCCTATGCAAACAGTGCCTCTTTGTCTGCCCCCTTAAGTAACACAGGACTTGTTCAGCTTTCTCAGTCTCCACATGCTGTTCCTGGAGGACCCCAAGCACAGGCTACCATGACCCCTCCCCCCAACCTTACTCCTCCTCCCATGAATTTGCCGCCTCCCCTTTTGCAGCGTAATATGACTTCRTCGAATATTGGAATATCCCACACCCAAAGACTGCAGACTCAGATGGCCAGCAAAGGTCATGTCTCTGTAAGAACCAAATCCACGCCTCTGCCACCTGCTGCTGCAGCCCATCAGCCACAAATTTATGGGCGAGCTTCACAGACCGTGGCCATGCAAGGGCCTGCACGGACCTTAACGATGCAGCGCGGCATGAACATGAGTGTAAATTTGATGCCAGCCCCTGCTTATAATGTCAATTCAGTGAACATGAATATGAATACTCTTAATGCTATGAATGGTTATAGCATGTCGCAGCCAATGATGAATAGTGGCTATCACAGTAATCATGGGTATATGAATCAAACCCCCCAGTACCCTATGCAGATGCAGATGGGAATGATGGGAACTCAGCCATATGCGCAGCAGCCAATGCAGACAGCCCCCCACAGTAACATGATGTACACTCCTCCGGGCCACCACGGCTACATGAACACAGGCATGTCCAAACAGTCTCTCAATGGATCCTACATGAGAAGGTAGGCCCGTGGGAGAGACACAYTACCAAACTGGCGTATGGGATTGATCTGCACAAATACCTTTGGAGAGTACGATTTCAAAACCAGCAATTGGTGTGAATGCAAAAACATTTGTTGGCACCATTTAAAAGCTTTTTGTAGCAAAAAGCCTTTTATAATTTTTTTTTTTTTTTTTTCTTTTTTTTTTTTTTTTTTTTTTTTTTTTTTTTTTTTTTTTTGGTTTTCTTCTGTTTTGGGGCTTTTTGTTTGTTTTTTAACATTGTGAGATTTAACTTCTCTTTGGGGGCAATTAGGTGGTTTTCCATTTTTTTGTTCATTTCATTGAGCTTGAAGTTCTCTGGAAAGGAAGAACTCTTTCTATGAACTGCAATTACACAGCAGCTGATGGTTCAGAGCCATTTTATGTGCCTGCTCCCATTAAAAATGTGGATAAATAGACTCCAAAACTATCAGACAGTACTGGATCATGAGCTTTTTCTCTCTCCTTTCCCCACATGTAAATGCCTTTTAGCAGTTCTTTTATTGTATTATTTTGTTTCTGAAGGTGACACTTCTGCATGCCGCTAATGTCTTTGTTAGTGACAGTGCATTTTGTAGTACTGTACAAGTGTTGTGCTTAACAGTAAGCCATTTCTTAATTTTTTTGCCTTGATTAGGTTACCCTAGTTTGAAGGGTAAAAAAACCAGAACTATATTTTTGTTAATTATAAAACTTGTAAAAATAATTAAAAAAAGCTGCAAAAGCTATTCACATTTTGGTTAGTTCAAAGGGTTTTATTGCTGTATGTTTAGTGTAAAGTTKAGACTCTTTTCCATTTTTGTGACCAGTTTCTTTGGGGCTGGGGTAGGAAAAAAAGGCAGCTTTCTGTTTTATAAAAACTGTTATGTTTTTTTTGTTGATTGAAACATCTCAGTGTTTATTTGTCAAGTTTTGAAACATTTTCATATATGTCCAAATACTTGGCAGGATTTAAAAAAAAAAAAGTAGTGAATTTGGTGTAAAGTTGCTATTTTATGGAAATGCCTCTAACTTTACATTTTCATTCCATCTGTAGATTTTTCTATCTTTATAAAATATTGGAGTTATTTTTTAAGGGAAAAAATAGAGCAGTAGCGTGTGAATAGCTCAAWCTAAGCTTACAGATCGCATGTAAAAAGGCAAAAGTTATTTGTGTCTGTTTATATTGCTTCCTTTTTTGTAGCCTTTGTACCTGTACAGAGTGACTGTAAGGGCCGAACAGAAGAGGCTTGATACATGTAAAAATAGGACCCAGTGACACTCTTGTATTTATCTGTTATCTTTTTAGTCAGTCACTTAAAAAAATACCCACAAAAGACCCACCCAACCAACAAAAATAAAAACTGMAAAAAACTACACCCCCCCAAGCTGTACATTTTAACATAAAATAAATTATGATGAGCCATTTTTAGCCTCTTGTGTCTTGTCATAGTTTGATGTTGCATGGGAATTACCTCCTGAATCAGTGTTTGTTACAGTGCTCTCACATGCTTGATCTAAAGCCCATTAAAGTTGGTGGGGTTTGGATTAGGCTGTTTAGAGCTTAAGTGTAGATTACTCATCATAATTGCATACACCTTGTGAAAATAAAGAGTACCTAAGATTATTTTTTTTAATAATCTTAATAAAATATTGAATAAATATGTATTTAATACCTTACAAGGTTGTCAATATTTAATGTATGAAACTTCTTTCCTATAGAAAGTGTGAATATATATATGTATATAAAAGGATATATGATAGTAACAGACATGGTGTTTGAACTGTATTTTAATGATAGAATTGTAATCTCTTCCTTTGTCATTGTTGCTGGGTGACAAGAGGATGCAAATTCTGCACATACGGGTTCTGTGTGTATGCATGTATAGAGGCACACATAAAGAGAGATGAGCACTTCTAATCTAGCAATGGAAGGTCTGCTAAAGACAAGAAGGCTGTCTGTATGTGGATCTCATGAGTGGACAAATTCAAATGTGGTATGTGTGAATCTACACCAGAAAAAAATCTTGTAATAATTTTTCAAAATGCTCCTAATGTGGATGTTGCCACTGACACTGAAGTAAGGTTTCTAGCTAAGGTGAAAGAATTGACAATCTTGACTGAAAACTTTGTCCCCATTTCAGTACATAAAACAGCTTTAAAGGTAGTGTGTTGTGTATCTAAAAGTCAAARAAATGTKTATTTCTTTAAATAAAACCATTACTGTGTGGTGGTGCCAAATCAAGGAACTGATGCTACAGATTTATGTGCATGACCTGTTCAGTTTTAAGACAATGGAGCAGCAGTCTAAAATAGTGGATCTAAATTAGAGCTAAAATTGCTGGTCAAATGGTAATATGGAGTAATTTGTGTTTTAGGAGTTCAGAACACTTGATAAGGACAGCACAATACAACAAAAATCTTGTTTCATGCCCTTACATTGTAAAATTTGTTTATTGTAGGCAGAGAGTATTTGTAGTATGTGAACATTCTTTTCAACTTCACAAACTAACTCATCTTTTTTATGCTTAGAAAAAGGAAAGTGGAACTCAACACAGTTATGTGTGCAGCCTTCAAGTGTGTTTAGCTAGGACTCTATCTTCGTTAAATAATTGCATCTCAAAGTAGCATTATGGTTTGTGATTTTTCATTTGTGTGTTTTTATAGTGAATGAAAAAGGCACCTGGGTCTTTATCTGCTGCTATTTAGTTTCAAGTTCTGAAGCCTGTAACATACAGGCAAATCAAGCCTTCTTACCATGTCAAATATTTGCTAACGTGAAACAGAGCATCCTGACTCCAGCATATTGCTAAAATCCTGTATTTACAATATATGGGTTAAAAGTTGGTTGGAAAATTATGCATAGTGTGTGCACAACAGTCAAGTTTCCAAAATAATTTTGTTAATTCCTTTCAGGAGGGCCAGTGGCTCTCCTACATCTTTTCCCATAACGACTGTTTAGCTKTGAATTGCATTACTGCACTAAAATTTCTGATATATAAGTAAGTTGTCTTTTCCTTGACAGATGTACTCGTTCTGTCATTGTGTGCACATTGCAGTGTCAGTTTTGACTGTGTACTCTGGTACCATCCCAGATGGGAATTAGCTCTTTCTTTTACCATCTTCAAAAAATTCTTCTCAGTATTGCAATAGATTATTCTTGTGAAGTGCAGGATTCTTCCTTGGCCATGCACTCGTACAGAATGCTCCATGCCACAGGTGGCTGGCATGAAGGAAATCAGCTTGCCTTGTTTTGTGTGTGTGTTTCCTGCAGACCTGGCTTGGTGCTGCTGACACTTGTTAGTCAGCTGGTTAGCAGYTTGCAAGAGTTGCCTCACCTTGTGGAAGTCACATGTTCCTGAAATTCTGCTTTTCAGATTTAGTCTCATTAATTCTGGGAGAACAGTAAGCAAAAAGAGCTGYCAAGTAAATGAGAAAGATGTTTACTTCAAAAGTRCTTAATTGGCACAGCTGTACCAGCMGAGTCCTTCAGGCAAGACCTGGTTCTAGGATAGATATTTGTCTTTGGAGCAGGATTCTTCACCTGGAAGCTGCCAAATGACAGTTCTGCTGAAAGCTGAACTCAGCCCTTCAGCAAAGACAAGAATGCTAAGTGTTGTTGCAYTCAGGCTGCCTGATCCCCTAGCAGGGGGCAAAATGCAACCAATTCCTTACTAACATTGTAACCATCTTCGATACAAGCAGAAACGAAGGATTACTAAAGGTAGTGGTCTTTCCTGTTAGATCACTGTCTATGTCTCTGAGTTTTATCAGCTGTTTAATTTGTCCATCATGGGTGGTTGATAAAACAAACTCCATTTTTATCCAGCACAGTAAATAGAAAGAATGGCCTTAACAATTTTTTGTAATGCTGAGAGTGATCAATCGTGTATGTAAATCAACTACAAGTCCTCTTTCAGTTACAGCAGTCACTGAGCTCTCATGCAGGATACAAGAAAGAAGACAACCTGTAACCTGATTAAGAGACCCTCACAGATATTTGTTATCTTTTAATATATAATTTGATACAGAATTCCTGTCTGTAACGCAAATGCTACAAAACATTCAGCTTTCACCATCAGTRTAAATGAAATCAGTCCATGCAAGGCAAGTTTGTCTGACACAAGGCTGGGAGAACTGTTCTGTGTCTGGGCTGTGAATTAAACTGCACTAAACAATAAGGTGGTCTTAAAAGGTACACTCCTTTAAAGGTTGCTTGAGTTAAGATCAATCAGGATTTTGCTTAGTTAAGTTAGCTAGTTAAGTTGTGCCTGCATTTGTGCTGTAAATGTTTGGGGTTTTTTTCAGAGAGAAGAACTTATTTGTTAATGTAAAAAAGAGTTCTGTTAAGGCTGTGACTTTCTAAGATTATGAGTTTTAAATTTGGTTTCCCTTTTTTCTCTTCTTTATAGTAGGTGAAATTCCTTTTTTTTTTTTTTTCCTAGCAAATAACAAATTAACCTTGTGACTGTGTAATTAACTGCACCTTCCCATTCCCTCTTATGGAGTTTCTTTTCCAGCAGCACATCCGTGCCAGGACAGTGCTAGATGGTGGTGCTGTTCTGCTGCTCAGCGGGCRATAGGCTGTTCTTGCTGTTCCTCCTCTGCAGTGCCAGCTCAATGTCCAGTTCTCTCAGCTGCTTCAAGAAGCCCCKGTTTGGCAAGATACAGCGGTGTCTTGACACTTGCTCAATGGCATCCACCACTGTCATGTTCTTGTAGATCATCAGGTAAGCCAAGACCAGCGTGGCTGARCGGCTGCGGCCCATGACACAGTGAACCAGCACCTTGCCTGTGGAAATAAAGGGACACCAGCTGAGGTGACACTGGGTAATCCTTTTCTTTTGACAGTGGAGGTTTCTGTAATGCCCCTGCTCTCTTTGGTGGTTTGACTACCCGTTTCAGCATTTGATAAGTCTCTGTTTTCACATGAGGGAAGACTGAGGCTGTAAATCTTAYAACTGAACACCATGTACAGTGGAGATGATCCATTTAATCCTAAATCAAGTATYTTTTAATTTGTGAACAAAGCTTGCAGAGAAGGCCTGGGGGCTGCATTGAGTAMCATAGCAAACCCTGCTGCAGTCTTCTTACATGCCTCACAAAGGGTATGTATGGGAATAATGACCTGTGTTCTGAATTCTGTGTTTGGGAATAATGACCAAAGCACAGGGTGCGGGAGGGATTGGTGTGCTCTGCTTCCATGAGGATAAATGGTATGCACAGGCAGTGCCTTTCTCAGTTCTATTAACTAGATACAAAAAGTAACCAAATTTGATTTTTTTTTTTGTTGTTCTGACAATAATGTCCTTTCAGATCTACATTGCATTACTTTATGCCCATTTTTGAGGGCAGAGAATAAGAAAGGGTATATAACTGGGAAGYGGAAAGAAACCACCTCTTGCACTAGAAAAGCTGTAGAAATTTCTGGCTAGCACCCCGTTGTGTTGAATGAAAATAATATTTCATCACTGCCATCATCTGAGTGTTTTAGTATGATCATCTCCTTGCAGTAGGAACCTGTGACTGCAGAGTCTTTGCCAAGAGTTTTCATCTGTGAGTAAGTGTGCCACAGTTAACTTTGTGACATTGCCTGGTTTAACTTGGGGCTTCCAGAGGCAGAAAGTTCTTGGCTTTGGATACTAGCAAGGTTGTAAGGCAAAGTGGAACCTTCCATGGTAGCAGTATCTGGGGCAGATGGAGGAAGAGAAGAGTAAGTGGGTTCAGGTCTGATTGACAGGTTTTGAAACACTTCAAAAGATTTCCAAAAATGAATTCAAAGCCCTCGAGGGGGTCTCGCAAAAGGTTGAACTGCTGAAGGAAGTAGATTTGGAGCACTCTTTCTAACACCCTGCTAAGCAGAATTGCCACCGGAGAAAAAAAAATAAAAGCCATGCTATCAGGGCCAGTAATAGTTTATCTCCKTAAGCTATGCCTAGTGAGAAGTGCTGGGTGCAAAGCCATGACTCCTGYCGATTAACTCCTTTGCTTCCAGGTACAAAAGCATGTCTTGGCACAAGTGGCATTGCTGGGTAATGGATGCATCAGGAACTGCCAACACTAAAGGATTAATGGTTACAGTCTGCATCCTAATCCCAGCAGATAGTCTTAGAGGCATCTTGGCAAAATTCCAATCCTTCTGATAACTAAAAGTGCCTCTTCCTCTCCTGGAAAATGATAATCCATTTTATTATTACTGCAAATATTTGAAATGGATAAAAACACTCATTTGTTTAGCCCTTCAGTGCTTCTCTTTAGAGCTTCCCACCTTGTAAATGTGTTGCTGTTGAGGTGATAAAATACATGATGGGACAAGAAACGTTTTGCTTTGTGTGGGTGGCAAATGCAGAGGATCTAGGAGAAAATRCAGTTTCATATTGTGTTGGCGAAGGCAAAAAATGGCTGTACAATTTTCTGAATCGTCCACTGTTTTAAAGAAAAGGAAATCTGTCCTTTGCTGTGTGTGAATAGTCAAGAGCCAACTGCCTGTTCCTGCAGAACACTGACATTCTTCTGCAGAYCCATGTCCCTTCTGTACTATTTTGTAGTCTCTTCTATTCTACATAAGGACCACTCTGAATCTTCATTCCCCAAAAGGGACTCTGCCTTGGATTCTGACCACTGTCATCTTCAAAGTGTGCCAGAATATGCAGTATCAGTGCACAGAGACAGAGGTCTCTGAAATATTTTGTTCACTTGATTTTGGGTTTGTGTTTCTTGAAAATTTGTTTAGCTACAGCATTTCTTTTCCAGAGTCAGATGGAGCCATCAGTGTTGAGGTGTCTGGTCAAATGCCTCGTGTCTTTTTATCTGTCTCTTATATTTCTTCCCACCTTGTTTTCTTTTATAATCTCTGTCTTTGGTGTATACTTCCTTGACACTTTAACATGAAGTGAAAATACYATTCCTCTCTATGGTGCATTCTGARGAAMTAAAATTATAAGGGAATGAATATTAAATCTGTAGCTTAGTAGRAAACCTAAAAAATTCTTAAAATAATGTCTTCCTTTCATGTTACACAGGCCTCAGTGATAAAAATTTTAAGCTGTTCTATGGTTYGAATTGCATGCTTTGGGAAAGCATTATGCATGGCTAMATGACAGCATGCATAATTGTGACCCATTAGAGTTTGGCTCTAACACTTACTCTTATAACTGTTCTTAAGCCCATCAGCCYATACTTAAACCATGCAAATACTGTTCTGATTGGGGAGTTTCKGCACCATCACGAAAATTTTGAATGTTGTCAAAATTACTGTATTAGGACTGTTTTGAAAGCATCCAAATTGCCAAGCTCTCTGGTCTGTTGCAGASAGGGTCTTCTTCATTTGAATGATGACTTGTTTCAACAACATTGACTATTGAGCATCTTCCCAGCAAAAATCATTATATGAAGACTTCTGTCCAATTAATTCGATCACTTAGCTGAAGGTCATCGCACCCCAAATGACGTGATACAGCCAAAGTAAATTCATTAACACGTGCACTCTTGTCACACAAGTTGAAGCTTTTTTCTTTTCCCCCTTTTCCCTCTCTGCATTTGCTCAGTTCTAACATAAAGCAGCAAAGCAATGTAAGGTGTTAGTGGTCAGAAGTATGTAGCACCATACACTGAAGTCCTTTGTCATACCACTGGAGATAGGTGCTTGGTTACTTCATACAAAATCCTGTTTGGGAATCTGGATGTTCTTTGTCAGTCAGGAAGGTGCACAAAAATAGCCTGTTCATTTGGCACTTGAAATGCAGAAYATTTTTCTACACTAGATGTGCATTCACAGATAATGCATTTAAGTTGCTGGAGGAGAGCACTAGTTGCCTATAGTCTTTTCTTCCWCAGAGGCATCAGTCCACACTTTAGTCTAGCTAATCTGTTAATGTGTATTGGGAACCTATGGTCATGTTTTAAACCACAGAGCCTTCCTGAGGCATGCAAAGTATCTTTATGCATATCCTTGGCTGGGATAAGAAATGTACGTACATTTAGTTTACTTTTCCCTCATGAGAAGGTTAAGAGGTTGCTCTTTTACCTCATGAATATTGCAGCTGTTCTTTATTTTATTGGTTTTCATCAGAGAAGATCCTCGCTAACTTGTTTAAAAGCCATGTGAATGTGGCAGAAATTACTACACCTACCGAAATTACTGCAATTTATAGTATCTACTTGAGTGCAGATTATTTTTTTGGTTTGCAGTTCACCCAGTCACTCTTCGATTTGGTTTTGTGTTTCAGTGCTGGACTAGTGCTTGATACTGTCTCAGAACTTCTGGACTTGGATGTGCTTTTGAAACAAAAAGGTTAATACTCTCCCCCATCTCATCCTTTCCTCCTACAATATTTATTGGGATGCAAGGCTTTTTTCCTGCCCTTGCTGCTTCTTTTGTGCTTGTTTCTTTACCTCAGTACAGCAGACTGAAGTCTTAGGGGAACAGGAGGGTGGTGGGAATGAGGAAGTCTGCATTTCTTATTCCAGCTACTCCAGTCTGACACTGACCTTTGGCCTCCAGCCATGGCTAGACACGGCTGTGTGTTAGTTATTCTCTCCTTTCCAAAGGCACTGCTTCAGACACACTTTTTTGAAATGGTGGGTAGCTTTCTTCATAAGCAAGTAAGCTCCTGAAGCAGTTTCTCCTGCTATTAGGACTTTGATTTTTAAAACTGATCCACTTTCAAGGTTTTCTCCTGAGCAAGGGAAGGGACTGTTGTGTGGACTGTACTTGCTGAAAGGGTAAAATTGTAAAGACCTGGCTGGCTATTGGAAGCAAGTCTGCAGCTGAGCTAGACAGCCAGGAACAGAAGCTGACACAAGGCTAGAAACTTGATATCTGACCCTCTGATATTAAGGTCTCTATAGGTCAGCAGGAAGGTCTTAAGTTTCTCAATTGGTTTCTGGTAAAATATCCTGTAGAGATTTTTTTTTTGAAAGTATGTAGGGGTAAAGACTAGCAGTAATATTGAAAGCCAGTGTGAAGCCTAGGCTGTAGCACTTCACATCGGTGTAAAGCTTTCTGATAGAACACTGCTGGAGATCAGCAAATAATGAATTGTAGTAATCAAGCTGAGAAATTACGAACACTTTAATGAAATGTTTCTAGATTACTSCTGTCAAAACTGTATCAGTTCCCTGCTGTTTGGAAGATGGCAGAGAAATGAATGTGATAGATTGGTGTAGATCTGATGGTCAGGTATAGAGAGAATCTAATGCTGCAGAGCATGAAGCTGTGKAGTGACAACATAGAATGCCTGAGACCACTCGTGTTCTACTCCCACCACTATGCAACTAATATTCATTAAACCTTTCTTGATGGACTAATTAGTAAAAGGARGAAAAGACAGCTAATTCATGGCACCTATGCAATGTCCAGCTGTCTCTGATGTGTTTATGAAGGAGTCAAAACAACAAAAAATCTGTCAGACAGATTTTTGCATCATCCCTTGATGCAAGCTGGGATGAGAACTTTTATCAAAGTGCTTGSTAAGGGGCTCTTGGACTAGTGTTAGTGAGAAGGGTTGTAATTACATCACTACCTTCTCTTAAACTGGTTCCCTACTACTAGTTTTATATTTTGTTAAACTGTATTGGACTTGTTTCATTCCCACAAGGTTAAATACCATAGAACTATGTTTTTAATCAGATGGTGTAAACGTTACACTGGTTTGAAACATTTTTCAGCACCCTCCTTACTTCTTTCATCCTGAAGCGCGTTATCAATGAATTTGGAAGCTGAGTAAAAGAACTGGCTGAGGTCGAAAGTGGGGAGATCATCTGCTTCCACTCCATGGTACTCCACGCTCATGCTGTTGTAATATTCTGGTCCTGTGTCCACGTTCCGCTGCCCCTGGGCCGCRTTGAGGATGTGGGTGAATCCCGCCTTCTCCAGGCTGTAGCGATCCAACGCAGTTTTTCTGTTAAAACAAGAGCTGTCATGTAAGTCAAAAAGCTTCTTACTCAAGAATAGAAAATAAATTTAAGAMAACCTCAGATTTGGTTCTAAATGTTAGTGAAACTGATAATGCTTTAATTATTCAACATTTACCATTTTAAGGATCTGACGATATTGTCATTCAGTTTGGAGTCGTAATTCTTTTTGGAATTCATAATTATCTCTCCCAGGTCCTTAGAGCATGTTTAATATGAATTTATTTTCCTTTGTAACATAGGCAATACTGGCTTCTATCCATCTTGTACAAGGAGAAACATGAGATGCAGAAAGAAATTGAAGGAATTATTTAAAGTCATAAAAGGAAATCAGTGACAGAACTTGAACTACGACCATGAATGCTGTTTTCCCCTTCTGTTCCATCAATTGATACTGCAGAAATAATAAAAGAGTAAATAATATGTGAAAAGTAAAATAATCTAGAATTCAGAAAGCAGTTCTTTTTCCCAAAAGGCATGTACTGACTTTTGCTCAATTTCTTYTAAAAATACATAAACAAAATTTTAAACCCCTTACCCTTCTGTGAATACAACTTTTCATCACAACTCCATTTTACTGTCATGGTTGGTCAAACCAGAGGCCTAAAGCAAAATGGACTAGGTATGGAAATTTTATATTAGCCTTCAGAGGAAGCTGCAAGTCATATATTTAGCCAAAYGTTCTCATTTGTTCTTGTCCTCTCTTCCCTTGGAAAAGGGAAGTCAGATAGGAGAGGAAAGCTTAGATTTGTGTGCTYAATACCCACTGTAAGTGCTTGCCAGCAGGATGAAATTCCAAAGAAAATGCAGAGTTTGTGGCCAGGCATGTAAAATCTTTCTTTGTTCCATTACAGAAAGCTTTTAGTTTGGGAAAGTTCCGTTCTGAAAAAGCTGTCAAGTTTCATTAGTGCCTAGGAAAACAACAAAGCTTTTTACGAAAAGAAAAAATGGCTCTATTCTCTTAATATATTTTCACATAACTACTGCATGATGTGAAAAAGCTTTTTCAAAACAAAAGTATCTCTCTGCATGAATGTTTYCTGAACACTTCCATGTGTAAATGTAGCTGCTGTCACACAGGACATTGTGGTGGGCTACCTGTTGTGTTTCATAATTCTAGTGGTGACAGCTCAGAATAGCTTGAAGTTGACTGCATTTCCAACCACTAAGTCAAAACCCCAYTTTGAGCAGTCAAGAACCTAATGATTAGAGCATTTAACTGGGATATGGATACTGAAGGTTTTCCCTATGCTTGCTCTTATTTAAATGAAGCCCATAATCATTTGGCTTAATTTGTGTGTTCTGAGTAGATACTGCCCTGCAGAAATTCCTTTCTGGTCAGAAATGATAATGTCTTGACATTACTGGTATTTTTGCCATGAAATAAGGTCACATGTCCCCTATATGATCATGTAAAAAGTAAATAAAAGCTTCATTTTGTGTGGTGATGCCTGTCTAACAAGCTCAGTAGATTCTCGAGGACAGAGGAGGAGCAGCATCCTGCTGCTCATGCTGGGAATTGCCACTTTTACCTCATGTTAAATAATGCTTGCTCCTTCCCTTTGTGCTCCTGTGGCAGTGGTTGATCTAGAAAGACTTTCCTGTTCCTCCCTTCTTTTAGGAGGTTTTGCCTTAGGATTCCTTTTAGGTGTCTGTGCTCTGTATGTACACAYTGCCAGCAAAGACGCCTCAGTTCTATACTGAAAAGATGGAGAGTACTTAAAATGAAACAGGTTAAATGTCCTGGCTGAAGWGTAAGGGTCCAGTGAATAACTACTACTCTTCATTTTCATGTCCTTGAGGTGAGCTGCAGTTCCTGCTTTCAAATTAAGTCTGTTTTTGTTTTAGCTCCCTGATGTTGGAATAGCAAAAATACATTTTTCCTTCATCAGACTTGGTCCAAAGCATGTATCCAACAAACCACATAAGACCGAGGGCTGCAGATCTGAGGCCCATGCACAAGCAGAACTCTTGCAAGTGGAGACCTACATGCTCAGTAGGAAGCAGGACTGCAGAGTGCTTGGGGTCAGTAGAAAAGGTTTTTGATGGACTGTAGACATGATCAGAATTTAGCTTCTGCAAGCACTGCTCAGGCTAATAAATAGCACTAGAATTAAATGATGAAATTGTTCTGAGTGAGGACAATGTCAAACRATAGATTACAGTCATTAACATTTGGCACTTGTATTCATATGAAATCAAATTTTCCTGTTTCCTTGATTGGAGATTGCCTTTTGACACAGTGGGTGGAACTAATGCATTTTTCTGTCATAGTTACAGTCTTGTTCTCTGTCTCAGAATCTCATTTTGCAGTGTTGAGTGGCCTCAGTTTTCCAGTAGGTATTCAGAAAGAAGTAACTTTTATAAGCCTGGCCAAGCCATTGTGAACTTTTCCTTTCGTCTTCCAGTCTTGCCTGCACTTCATTCTGTGACTTTGAGGATGGAATTAATCCTCCTCTTTTTTATTCACTAGTTAAGGATAAGGCAGGTGTTCACTTTGCATCACAAATGCATTAGCTGTTGTTTTGCCCTTAACCTGTCGGAGGCTCAGAATATGCACATTGAAAGACGTTTGCTCCCTTTGTTTCCTGACTTGGGCTGGAAATGGAACCAGAAGCAACAAAATATCAACCTTGAATGGTGTTGCAAAAASTCATTATAAATGCTCAGATGTAACTAAAAAATCTTCTATGAAATAACTTTCTTTTAACAGCTAATTTGAAGTGTACCAAGGAGATATTTAGAAGGCTTTCTACTCCACTRTTGTTGACACTGAAGAATTTATGCTCTATTTTCCTCAATGCTTGGGATGGGCTGAGTTTAAAACATTATCTGCTACCTAATTGTGCTTGATATACAGACTGATTTGGCAATACCCTTTGGACTGAATGGAACTTTACACAATGGAATTGTTTTCTTTATAACACAGATGAATATTTTCTTTTTTCTAGTGACATTGCTGATCTGAAAAACTTCAAGAAAATGAAAGCTCAGTGTCACGCACTCAAATCTGTTAAGTTATCCACATTTTCAGTGGAACAGCTATCACTCAGACTGTGTGTAGGTGTTGCAGAACCTGTTAGTTGAAGCAAGACCTAAAATACTTGCCCTGTGTATGTGGAGCAGGGCCAGTACAGGTCCTGTGGCTACACAGCTTGTGTATCCKCAGGCTGAGCTATTGCAGTCTGTAAAGAGGATGTCAGGCACCTTTCTTACAGCAGATATCCTGGACACTTTTATCTATGGACAGCTTTTCGTAAGGTTTCTAATATATAATGTTGTGTGGAGATATGAAGAAACAGCTGTTGTGTAATAGAAAATAGGGTTCACTGGACTGCAAGAGGTGCTTGCCTTGGGCTTTAGAATCTGCATGTTTTGAAGAAAGCTGAAATGAYACTTGGTCTTTTTCGAGAGCAAGAGTGCTTGGTTTCAAACCTAATTTGGTGATTAGAAAGTACTTTAGCTCTTTCTCCTTTCTCATCATCCTCCCTGCCTTACACTCAATAGTTATATTTTCATAAGAGATTTTACTACTGTTCTTTGAAAWTTTTTATTTCTTTTTTCTTGTAAAATCTTTTCCCAAAATCTAGGCCAAGAGCCCAGCTGGACCACCACTTGTCACACTGGCTCAGGTTTGTCTGCTTTTTACCTCCTGTCAGCCATCTTTTTACTTTGTTCTTTGATCATAAACGTTACCARGCATAGATGGCCTATGCTGAGACTCAGACACTGCCATGGTACAGGCAGTTAAACTTGGGATCATGCTGGGTTTGCAGCAGGTTATTTGTCAGTTAACAGAGTAGGAAACAGCCTGGTAAGGCCTCACGTGGGGACCTGTGTGCCTGTAAATGAAAATCTGCCCCTCAGCATGTTTCCTTGGGCTGCCCRTAGCCATCGTTGAGCTCTGGCTTTGTGGGAAGGACTGGCTTGCTTTGCACCCTCAGCTGAATCTGCAGAATTGATGCTGTTGTGAGAGCATCCCTCTGTCTATACAGTGACCAAAGTCTGGGGTGTTCAWTATGTTTCATCATGCGTGATACTTCTGATTGCACCTCAAGAAATGCTCTGGGTCTTCCTTGCAGTTTTAACCATGCCTGACGTATCAGTATTTTGGAGGAAAGGGAGGAATAAATCAGGCACAAATATCTGCAAATATCTGATTGGTTGAGGTTATGATAGCATAGGATCATTCAAGTATATATGAGTCATATACGATATAGGAGGACTTATAACTCTACTTCTAATTCACTTTTGACTAGAAATTACACAGGTTGTTTTTGTTTCCCTTGTGGCTGGCTCACTACCAGAGTGTAATAGCCAAGCTAACAACATTTTTCTTTTCCCCTCTTTAGGTGCTGCTGTTTCCTATTAAATTGCAATTAATACTTCCATTTTTGTGATTATGGTTGAATTTTAAGTAGCTATTGTAAAGATGAGCTTGCTATAAATGCCAGTATAGGTGAAGCCATAAGCACTTGATRCTCTTGCAATTGTTGTCATTTTGTACATCTCCACCATCTGTGCTATTAGCACTTGATTTCCTTTTACATTGTGCAACTGTGGTCTCCAGTGTCTGCCTTGAATGTGTTCCTGTGCAAGGAAGGTGAAGTGTGGCACTGGGAGATAACAGAGAAAAATTCAGTGTAGTTCAGTTTAGTAAGACATGACCTGGGCAGATTGGTCCCATGTAAAATCTCATCAGCTCTTCAGTTCAGAGCACATAAACTTATGCTAAAATTTAAGTATACCCAGAAGTCCTTTTCTCTCTGTTAAGCAAAAGCTCAGTGCTATGCTGAATCAGACCCTGCATTTACTGTRAGGCAGATGGACTCATAAACATGTTTTTAAAGTTCTGAGGCAAGGAAGAGTACTCTGACGTGGGAATCCCACCTCAGTGGTGAAAACAGGAGATAAAATCACTTTCACATATGGATATATTGATACTAACAGATTCACTGAAAGGCAAAAATGACCCAGACAAAAGTGTCATCCATTTTCAGATGGTTCCCAAAAGACTGTTTACCTCTCTTGGGTTGTGCAAAGGCAAGTAGAGGGCTTGTCTGAGACTTTAACTGAGCCTTAAGACTGATAGCAGGCAATGTTTCATAGGATTAATAGCAACTGCTCTAGCCAGCTCTGTCTTTTTCTGGAAGCAACAATGTAAGTAGTTATAACATGAAAAAAGAACATTTTCTTTCAGGTTGCTGTCTCCAGTGTACCAAATCCCTTCTCTCTCTTTTCAAAAATACTGTCATAACAAGCTTTAGTCCCAGCTGCTTTTGTTAGAAAGTTGCCCAAATCAATGGAATTGGAAGAGAGGGGAAAAGAATTTGCAGGCACTGCAGCCTGCACCTCCATATGCAGTATTAAGTATACTGAAAGCAGCTAACAAAGGGAAGAGAAGGCAGCTCATGAGGAAAACACAAGTACACCCAAAGGAAGGGAAATAATCCCCAAAATACCTCATGAGGGTGTAGGTAGAGCAAATCCCTCCACAGGTTAAGTCAGCACCTTACAGCTGGTACTGCTCAACCAGATGACTTGTGTGCTTATCAACTTTAAGTAGAGCCAAGTCTCTTAAACTTCATGTAAAGACTGTGCAWTGCAAACATGTTTCAGTATAGACTGTTAAAGCCACAGATTGATGTGACCCAGATTGACAAAGCACAAGGAAATCTGAGGCAACATGTTACTAGGAGAGGAATCGTCTCTCTCAAACTTTTCCATTTTCTTAAGCGCTAAAGGAAAGCTCGATGCAGGATGATAATTTACCAGATGGTCAGTGTCAGAAAGAAGCTTGCTGAATATAGGCAATATTGACACTTTCTTAAGAAAATCTGGCAGTTCTCCCTCCTGAGGAGAGATGTTGAGAATTTCCAATAATACTGACCCAATTTTCTTCAGTAACTCCAGCACTGAGGGAGACTAGAGATAGTGTAGCATTGTATTCCTTTTTCCTTCCGAGGTGTTGCTCCAGTTCCTTGGGTACCTCCTGTTCRGTGTGAATTAAGAGAATTTTTACATACCACTGAAAATACTGAACGGGGTAGAAAAAGATTTAGTAGTTCATTTATCTCTAGCCCAAAATGGTGGATGTAGTTTTTGAAAGTGATAGCTCTCTGCTTTCTATACAGCAAAGGCACCAAGTACACGTGCAGTAGTCAGTCAGTTCCTGGTCTTGACCTCAGTCACTCATCAAATGCTAGAAATCACTGATGGACAGAGATGTTATATTGGGAAGTGTTACTTGTCTYGGAAACCACTGGAGCGTTGAGGTTTACTGTCCAGTGTTACAGATCTGATTTTCTGGATTGTTAAACTGCTGTTACAACTGGCAGATTCTTATTCTGCCCCAGTTAAAACCATGTCCTCAGGAGTGTTGTTATAATCTAAATCTGCATTTGCTTCTATTTTTATAWTATTAATACTGGTGAAAATTATAGGAGTTTGTAATGCTAAATGGTAGGAAGTAGCTGTTTTCTAGTCTGAGTGAGCGCCTTCTGTTTTCTTCTAGGTTAGTGCAAACTCTCTTTTTACTTAGTCACTTGGAAAAGTGACTGCATTGCTTCTCTGCAGAAAAGTAAGAGGACAGAATTCGTTTTAGCTAAGCATATATTTAGTGTTTAGTTATTTATCTTAATTACCATGCACTCTAAATTGTAGGTTTGAATTACTTATCTTCCCTATCTGCATTCRTTCTGAAGACCATGAGCCATAGCACAGGCACAGACCAAAGCTTTTGTGAATTGCAAGCTTAGTTCAGCTGCATATCCCAAATATTATTTTTCATACAAAATTTGTAAAGAATTAGACTTCAGAAGACTTCTTTTTCTTTGGGAATAATTTCAGAACATGGCAAAACCTGAAATTGTGATCAGGCCTTAAATCCTAATGAGATCTAGYGGATGCTTAAGAGGAAAACAAATTCTTGGGAGGCCTTTGTCTTGAGCTGAAATATTCTTTGAACTTCAGAAATGTGAAACTTTAAACATCATCTCAGGCCATCACTGTAGAGCTACAAGATGAAACTACAAGATGAGTCACTAGTGGAGACTTTCCCTGTGATCCCAGTGAACCAGGCAGGTTTGGGATTAGCCAGTAAAACTGCCTCAGGTGGCCAGTGAAACAAAGGAGCGAGACAGGGCTGCTTTCTATCCCTTTAGAAGACTTCTAAATATGAGGAGGATACATGCAAACACTAATCCTGGTAGCAGTTGAATCAAAATCTTGGCCARGTGTGTTTTATTCCTATCACTGGGTTGTGTCATACAAGTTCCAGTGTCTGGTCTTTAAAAGCCCTTGGAACTTGCTGGGGGAAAATTTCAATTGGASCTGAACACAGCATGTTATATTTTGAGGCTTTGATTATTCTGGGTCTGACAGGCTCATGGAGATTTCATTGCCTCTGGGCAACATCTGCAGTGAAGCCTTGTAACAAAAGGATGGAGTGGCCTCACAGGGCTCCTTGATAGCCTGTATTGCATTAGAAGGAAGATGTGGTTACGTAGTCAGGGTAATTAATTTGCATTTCCATAAGCAGTCACAAGTCTTGTTAACCTTGTAAATGCAGGAGGCAGGAATGAAGYACAGATGTGGAGGCTCTGAAGATAAGGCTCTCTGCCTCTGTGTGTTCATTTGATTTTGTTGATAAGTTCCACTAAATTCTTTCAAGATCAACCTTAATTTAGCATGCCTAAAGATGYAAATGCAACCCAACATCTGTTCATGGCTCCCTGGCATCTCTGCCCACCAGTGCTAAAGCAAGATCTTAAAACAATATAAAAACCCTGCAACACTGAGGGTGTAAGCTGATGGCCAGGAGTAAGATATGGAGCTGGCTGAGGAAAGATACATAGAGCTCTGTGGACTTCACCTATTTCAAACCAAATTTTAGTTATGGTACTGAAAGGCTGCATCTTGCCTGTAGACCAGTTCTCTCAGATTCTCTGCCMTGTCAAGTTTGCCCTTACCTGCCTGACAATAGTTGTCTACTAGGGAGTCCCATTTTCTTGTGAAGTTTTATTTCTCTTCCCTTCCAGCTCCTCACTTCTTTTTCCTTCTCTATTGGTTTTCTCATTCTTTTGTYTTGTCATGTGGGGGACTTGTTTCCYCTTGAAGCACCACAAGAAGCTTSTATTTCAGTTCCCCTGGTTAGTTTGTATGAAGTGCCAGGTGTGTGGTGTATTCAGTCACACATTCTAGCATTTATTAAATTACAATATGTAAGAAGCCACTGCTACAGGAAGATTACAGGRAAGAGTCAGTGACTGCTGTCCTGAGCTAAGAGACTGACTTCTTGTCTGGTTACATCCCTTTGCTCAGTGGGCACAGATATTGCTTCATCACAGAGATTAGAGGGAAATTCTTCTAACAGCTTCTTTCAGAATAATTCCTCTGGTGATTCTACACAAGGAAGTAGGAAATAAATGCCAGAAGAGACTATTCTTTATAATACATCTTGAGTTAGAAATATCTAACAGGAGGGGCATGGTAGGATGTGGAGAGAAAAATTCAACCCCCTTTTCTTTCATTCCTGAATCATTTGGACAGGCTGTTCCCATGGCTTCTTTATTTTTTATTTTTTTTATACCGCACCCCCCCCCTCCCCCACACACACACGCTGTCCCACTCCCATATTTAAAAGTGGGWGCCCTGGCTTGGTTCAAGACCAGAACTCTTGTGTCTTTCTGTTGCCTCTGGCGCCACAGAAGTAATTAGTGGATGATATTAGGAGTCTTGTAACTTTCAAAGCTGTATATCTTTCCTCTTTTATAAGCTGGCAACAGATGAATTTTAGGAMCTTTTAAAAAATTATTGAGAACTTTGGAGCCACTGGGGCTCCTACTTGTGTCTTTCAGTGATGATGTAAAAATAAATGTCATGTTAGTGCTGGGTATAGAGGAAAATGGGAATTGGACCAAAAGTGCCTAAGGGGTAAGAAAAGCCCCCTTGCTCTGCTCAGGGCTTGGGTTGGGGGATTTTCTGATGGCTTATCTCCTGCTGCAGCAGTCATCTCTGCTTCTTGGAATWGGCTGTTTCTAGTTTAGTCCTATGCTAACAGAACTAAGCCTGTTTTGTGTTTTGGTTTTTTCCCAAGTCACACTTGGTCTGATCAGTGAGACACATCACTGCAGCTTTGCCTTCCTCAGGGTTCTGTTTGCTTTAATCTCTTGAGCAGTTTGGAAATGCAGAGTGTTCCATGTACACAAGCACAGGCTTGGAAATGCAGAAATACCACTGCAGGGTGAGCTGTTTCTTCAGTCACTTTTCAAGAATTATGTTGTAGGCTTAAACCAAYSTAAGGTGTGGCCAAAACATCTAGGCCATGCTCTTCTGTAACTGTGGAACAACTTTCACTCAGAGATAAATCAAAAATTTCTCCTTAAAATGAGCCATTTAAAAATAGATCATGATGAGCTGCAGCCTACACTGATGCCACAACCAGTGCTGTCACTGTCATTAACAGCAGACCCGGCCACACTTAACCTGCACTTTCCTGAAGAAGCAGTAACACTAATGACCACACCAGGCTGATTGCTTTGTAGTCTGGCATCTGTCAGTGGTTTTAAACACTTTGCTCTGTTGCAAAGCTGTGACCTGTGTTTAGTGGAGCTTAATCATCCCATATGTAGAGGAGATGTACCAGGTACACTTTGCTGCTGTGTAGCGAGGTACTGTGTGCACTTACTCGTCTCCTATGTAGAGGTTGGGCCAGACTTCATTGACGTGAGTGTATTTTGGGCATCCCTTCCACAAAAGCCGCTCCAGTTCAAATGCTCCTGGAGTACAATAGTCCTCATCAGGATCTACTTTGACTGCTGCGTACGCATTTTTCTTCCCAGCATTCCAGCTTCCTGATGACATCTTGTCCTCGTGTGCTCTCAGGATGGGCAAGAAACTGGAATGCAACCAAAACAGAACATTAACCCAGGGAAGCACAAAGCAAATGACTCCTGCTCCAGCTGTGGGACCCTGGGAGCAGCACTGACCAGGTGTGATTGAGATGAACCTGYTCTGTGGCAAACACAGACTTGCACCCGGATTTCTGCCTCCTCTGAATGAGGTGAGGAATATGTTGTTGGATGAGCTTGCCAGCAATGGGAACAAAACCCTAAGGTTTGTGATTATTAAACTTCAGTCTCTGCCAAAAATTTGTTTCTTGAAAAATCCACTGGTAAGAATTCAGTAGGTCTAACACCCTAGGGATCTAAAGCACCTTGGGGAACTGAGTGCAAATTTTAGTTGTTAGAGTTTTTATCATTAAGACTCTCCTAAAAGCTTGTCCTTTGCAATTTTCAGCAATGTAGGGAGATGAAATGTGTCTATTCRGTTGAATGTTGCATGTACCATTCTACTCTTTTCTACTCTTCTTTTTTCTCTGTTGCCAGCTGCAAATTGCCTGTCTGCTGCATCTCCCCRTGGGCTCTGTTTTTATTTCTCCTGCTGGACTCTCTAATGTCTCAGAGTAGCAGTTGCTTTTGAGTCTTTTATTCCCTTGAAGGGAGAAGTTGAACCTTGTGGTTCTGCAAGAKACTTACAAGATGTGGAGTTGGGCTTGATCTTACAAAGTATGCAAGTAGAGCCTGCCAAAAATCCACCTTTTTTGCAGGCAGTGAATCCTATAGTGGCTCCCAATTTTTTTTGTGTTGCCTGCTGAATGTTTGTGTCCTTTTAATTCGAAAAATTTGGCTAATGCCTTCATGCTGCTATTGTAGAGCTCTCCTGAATGYAGCATGTCCATTTTTCACTGACATCCCATGTACCCATGGGGTTTGTTTGTCAGCTTGGGCTCTTTTGTGTCTGTCATGTTCTGTTTCTCTGCAAAGCTTGAAAACGCCAATGATTCCTGTTTTCCTACTCCAAATCTGTGTAAGATTGTGGAGTCAGTTTTTGTTTGGCAAGTGTACACCTTTGTTCAAAAATTGGCTTGCTTTCACTGGCAAGGGGATCTATCTTTCAGCCAAGCCTCTTAAAACATGATGATKATGTTTAGCTAAGTGGTCCTCTCTTGAGATTTTTAAAGGGCTCTGAGAATTCCAGCTCATAGCAAATTTACCTTGGGCTTGTCTTGCATGCCTAYGTGTAGCATCAAGTCCCATCTCTCTGCCCCAATAGCCATGGCCTGAGAGAGCCTTTTTCCTTCCTATGCCAGAATTATGCTAATTCTATACAAAGACTCAGCAGTGTAGATAATGTTTGTCTGTCAGAGATACAAATCTAAGACAGTCTGTTTTTGGGAGTGATTAGACTGTTATCTAGAACTTGATAAGCACTGCTCTTTGTCTAGTAAGGARTTATCTTAACTGAGAGACAGTTGCCTTGATGCTGAAGGACTGACTGCTTTTATTCATGGCTCCATAAAATGGGACGGAGGAAAGGAAGGGAAGAAGAGAAAAAAAATGTAATCAGTAATCACAGTTGGTGGCCACAGTGCATTGATTTGTTACACCTCAGAACAGGGCAATTACATCTGCAAATGATCGTTTGTGGTACTGGAACACCRGCACAGTTTGAAACTTGGTTAACAGTCTGAAAGCTCGACCACTGCTGAGAAATCCTTGTTTCTGTCTGTCCAGGGAAGCCATATGCTCCCTGAACTTTCAAGTACGCTATGTTCTTTTAAGCCTTGCCAATGTTATCTGCTGCAGGGATTTTAAAATTGAATTAGAGCACAGGAAAGCATCAGTTGAAATTCCTCTAATAAAACAGTATTTCAGATTTGACTCTAGACTAAGTAAGAAGTAACAGTGTTTAACTAGGACGAGAGGAAGGGGGTCAAAGGGGCTGGTTTGCTGCTTGAACTGTGGAAATAATTGCCATGAAACATTTTGTTGGGTGCAGAAAGGCTTCTATCTTCCCAGGAATCAGAGATGTCTAACCTCATCTCATATTAGCTGTTTTATGTACACCAAACAGAGCTCCAGGAAAACTATTCCCTAGGCCAGCTCCCTTGAAATAAAAAAAGAAAAGTAGGTTGGATTTTTTTTGAGTAGTTGTTCTTAATGCTGTTGTGGGTATAAGGGATGAATGTTTAGCACAAGCCCAGGCAGAGAAAGCTCAGATTTCTTTGGCAGACTTGTGTGGAGAGGACACAACCTCTTGCAGAGCATTCACCCAGTGCAGTCAGATGGCAGACAGATTGCAGGGTTACCTCTGCACAGGCTTGTTGGAGCTGGCTCCCACCCCTTGTGGTGCTTCATTTGGGCTATGGATGAGTGAGTGCAGGCTGAATACTGTGCCAGTGCTGTGCCAGCTTGGCAGTCACTTCATGGCACTGCACCGTGTTGGAGACACCACCTTAGCTCACACAAYAGTCTGAGTTGGAAGGGACCCACAAGGATCATCAGAAGTGAAAGGCCCACATGGAGGTTGTGATAGGCATTATCAGCACCTTGTTCTGACCAACTGGGCTCATCCCAGGGTCATGCGGAAGCTCTGTGGAGTAGGGACGGTCATTATGTCCCTTGTATAAACAGCTCTGCACCCTGCTTGCTTCTGGAAGTGCTGCTTCAAGACAGCCTTTTTATTTCATGGGGGAGGGATGAAAACTCAGCTGGCTGTGGAACTGSCCTTGTCCCACAGGGGTTCTCCCCAGCAGAAGGGTTTGAGCCCAGCTTCCAGGCACAATGAGGAACATTTTCCCTGTGCCCAAAGGCCCATTGCTGGCCTATGCCACGGCCAGGCTGTGTGAGCTGGTGAGACATTCCCGTTCCCTCTCTGTGCCACCGTGGTGGCTGGGCAGACCCCAGGGCAGGGCACACCTTGGTGGGGCCCCACAGGTGCTCAGCCTGCRGGATTCCTGCCTGCTGAGCTTGGCATCCCGCGTGTTCTACAGCTCAATCCAGCATGTGCCCAGAACACTGAACTGCTGGTGCTTCCAGTTCTGCTGTCATGGACTTAAGTGTATTATCAGAACAAGGATGATAAAAATCCAGTCATCTGCATTTTTATACCCTAATCTTTCTCTTCATAAATAAGACCAAAGTGCATGTTATCTAATAAATTTTRTTTGTTAATCGCTTGGATGGCTGGAATATTTGTCCCCCTTGGGTTATATGTATATAAATGAAAATATTGTTAGWGATTTCACAAAATGGTAATTCAGAATAATGGAGAGTTAATCCKCTTTTCATTAGTGAGCCACTTCAGGACATACACTGTGGCAAATTACACTGCATTTTAAGTCATTCTCAAGTGCTGTGCACTAGAAAAAAAACATTAAACTAGTTTTATATTGATAGAAGTAATTGTGTGGCTAATTTGGATAAGCAGCATGCATTAGGCACAGCAAAGGAATCTCTTCTTTATGTTCACTATCTACTCTACAGCTGCCAGATGGAATTTCTTATACAGCTCTTTAGCTTTTTCTTATTTTATTTTTAACAAAGCAGAGAGGGAGGAAACAAAATGCAAGGCAAAAAAAAAAAGAAAATCTGCCAGTCTATCTGCTGTTTAATTCAGRGCATGAACACAGTCTAGTGATGCAACTAATATGGCAGTGAAAGATTTGCCTTCTGCACCATGTTTGGAGTCCCTTGAACTACTCAAATTAACCCAAAATTTCCAGTAAAGCCCTCTGAAGTCAAGGAATGTAGTGGCCCATTTTCAAATTTGTTCATTTGAAAGGATGTCCACTCCCACCACAAAATTTRTAGTGGGTGAGTTAATACTTTTGGAAATGTCAGTCATGAGCTTTACAGTTTGGTAATCCCATGGATGGGGAGGAAAACTGAGGTTTTAGAGATGAACGTCAGAGCCTCAGTGGTGCTGTGCACATTTCTAATGCTGGCTTTCCACATGTAGTGGAAGTTCCTGAGTACTTCAAGACTGAAAGCTATAAGTTGTTAGCTACATAACAAAATACTATATTTCTTAATATTTTTGGCTCAATGTGCTGTGCAAGCCCACGTGCTATGTATAAAGATGCCAAACAATTTGGCAAGATTTATGCCTGGGAGTTAAGATCCAAGTCAGCTGTAGAGACTTAAAAAGAAAAAAAAAAAAAAGGAAAAAAAGAAAAAAAAGCAGACATACACAGACAAGGACTGCATTTGCCTTTGTCCTGTGCTTTTCTGCACTCCTACCCACACAGGGGGTTCCTCCTTCACTGCTGTTGTCCTAACCATATGTACTCTGGCTGCCAACTTGTAGCTGGATTTGTGTGCCTGAAGCTTCAAATCTTGAATAAAATCAGCACCCAGTGGCATTGGTACAAATGTGCAATAWGAGAGGCTAAACAAGTAAAAAGTGGGAGGAAAAATGGAGACAAAAGACAATTTTCCTTCTCTTTCCTTCAGAAGTATTAGCTGTACTGTCATGTTGGTCACRGGGCTTTCTTGCCTTAATGCCCACTTCAGTCCATATTTATATAGCAGAATAGTTTAACTTCTTTATCACCCATGTTTTCTGCTCTTGGAAGTTCTCACAGCCCCTACAACATTGATCACTTGTGCTAGTGGTGCTTTTGATGCTGGCTTTATTAAATTTAATTTGGTGTGCACAAGTGTACATGCCTTGGTTTTGTACTCAGAGTARTCTAAAAGGTAGTTCTCCCTGAAAATACCAAGCAGTCGCAAATTTATCTGCTTTAGCTGGGAAGTAAAAGTTTTCAGCATTTAGCAAACACCAAAATGTATAGCCTGCTTGTAAATGTGGAGGCAGATTTTAATCATATTCCTGTTTTGATGCTTTCAGATTTTGCTTCCTACCTGTTTCCTGATGTCAGCTCTGAGAAAGGAGTGCAGCCATGATATATCATCAGGAATTTTTATCCAAGATGCCAAGGGAAGGAAAGAAAACTACCTATGAGTGCTCTTTCATGAGGAGTCTGCAGAAGTAATGACATATCTACTGGACCTTATATGCACYTCAGTGCAGAAGGAGATA